CTAACGTAGCATCGCTGTGCCCAGTGTGTGTGCGTGTTAACGCTACATAGGAGTATATTGGGCCCTTCATGACGCGCTCGCGGCCGTTTTGCTAGGTCAACATATACCAAATTCGGTGTTACGTGACGTCAATGGATGACGAATTATACGACTGGTGCAAACATGATAATCCTGACATTCCTGCCATGTAAGAACACGACAACATACCATGCTAATAGCGTGCTCGCGGTCGTTTCGCTAGCTCCACATATACTAAATTTGGTATCTCGAGACGTGAATAGATGACGAATGTAGAAGACACATCCAAACATGATAATCATGGCCCGTAAGTCATACACAGCATCATTTACCTCCACCTCGTAACGTTGTGTTGATTTTAAAGTGGCATTTCAACCTTTCTTGTTCGTGCTTTGCATATCATCGATTCCCACTGCGCGTGGGATCTGCCAATTTGTTTTATACCCCAGCCCCACAGCTTCAGTGCCTTACCTTAACTCACGGAGTGTCGTCGTGAATTGTGCACGAATAAATCATGAAAAACGTGATTTAACTCCCTCCCCCCCTGATAGAAATCAGTGTAACATCAAAGTGTAAAGTGTCTTTACAGAAGTAGTAAATGCTTATTGTACAATTGTATAAGAGAGCTTGCACAACGTCTATTGGTGTTTGACTGTTATAGCATCATTAGACGTAGATTCGTCCATGTTGACGCTTGGTGGCACATTCTTATCCCTACGAGAAGCGCCCATGATCCTATGATTAAAGGCACCCCTTGGCTCATAGATGGTGTTGGTGGATTACCAGTGAGACCGTAATCATAGAAAGTGGTGAGGCAGCTATGAGAGGGTCACTGACTGGAATCCAAACTTGTGATAAGGTAACGTCGCCTAGATTATATACCAAGGCCTCCAAACGCCGGTGTCACGTCACACCAGTGAGATGGGCTGGACCGTTGGCTTCAATGCGTTGGCTTCAGCACATCGTTATGCTTGCAGGCAGTCTCATGTCTTCGTCAAATTAGCCCTGTCCATCAGGTTTAACCTAGCACTGTATATGCTTCGGTACCAACGCAAGACACTTTTAACACAAACAATAGGAATCTCGCGCTGGTTCACCATTCACCGTAGTCATTAAAACATCATAGCAAGCGTCATTTGATTGTCCTTTACTTAGATTTTTACTGTTAACATTGTTTTACGGGTATCGTAACATCACATCTCTTAATGTACTTGTGCATGTGGGTTTTTGACACCGGCTGTTGAAAGCAAACTGTACTGCATGAGGTCACATTGGTAGTAGACTTAACTGGCTAAAAAGCGCGAAACAAAATACTGGAGGCAAAAAGTATGCTTAATGGGCAAATTTTGAAAACTCACTATTCAAAAAACAGATAAAGCTTGCATATGCATAATTAATGTTCTTTTGCATTCTGTAAGACATGGGAATGTCAAGGTTCATATGATTGGTGTACTATTTAACATAGTTGCACCACGCATAATTAATTACCACTGAACAAGCTTCAGCCATCGTGTACTGTATTTATCTCTTTTTTTTTACCTGCCGTGTTTGCAGGACGTTTCGGCAAAAACCAAGCCTAAAATCAAATTCTCCTGCACAGTATTTAGGCAAAATATACAGTGATGAAATTCGCTAGCATGCGGAGTTCCGATCATATTAAACTACCATGATGCGCTTAAACGACAAGATTCAAAATGGACAAAAATGATGGTTCGCCGCTTACTTCTTCTAGTCTAGTAACGTTGACAATAGTCTCAGCAGATGACGTGCTTTTTAAGGAGCCGCAGCGCTGATATCTATGCAAGTCTATTCAAAGATCTCTAAAACTATCTGCATACGTCTTAAGCCATACAACATTTCAGGGACTAGATATTATTACTAATTCCCACAACTGTTTCATGAACAATTACTTCAACGCGTACGTCAGTAGACACAATCACATAAGTGTCGATAGTACGGGTGGAATGGAGAGCTAAGTCAAGAAAAGAAACCTTGGAGTCCTTATATTTACAGTCAATAGGTCTGAATGCTTCAATCTTGGCAGGACGTTGAGCAAGTCTGCAAAACTAGTTAGCATATTTTCTTTTCCTCTTCTGCTTTCATTCGCTGTGAAAGCATCATTGTTTCATACAAAGGAGGGACTTCCGTGCGCGCTTTTTTTATATCCGGCGCTTCCTGAATACATGATTGCGGCCGCAATACAGAGACAGGGCAGATGGGAAACAAACTGTGAACTGCAGTTCACTTCAATAGACCGTTCTTCGTGATGACTTCCACAACTTTTTTGCTGCCTTTATATATCTCTAAGATGTCGTTTTCAAGTAATCCAATGGCAACAATTGCTTTTTGCAGAGATTAAATACAAGAAAAGGATATTATGAACACGGCCTACAACAAAATGCAGAATTTAAATCACGCCTTTATTCTGCAATGCTTGAACTGTAGGAGCACGTTTCAGTGAAGCACGTTGCCAAAACAAAAATTGGCAGCTCCCAGGTGCAGTGGAAATCGATGATATGCGAAGCACGTAAAAGAAAGGTTGATATGTCACTTTAAAATCAGCACAACGTTACGAGATGGAGGTAAATCATGCCGTACATGACCTCCCTGTCATGATCGTTATGTCTGGATGTGTCGTTTACCTTCATCATCTATTCACGTCACGTCACACCAAATTTAGTATATGTGTAGATAGCGGAACGGCCGCGAGCACGCTATTAGCGTGGTATGTTGTCATGCTCTTACTTGACACGCGTGTCAGGATAGTCATGTTTGCACCCGCCATGTATCTCGTCATCCTTTTGATGTCTCGTAACACCAAATTTGGTATAAGTGAGGCTGGGAAAATGGCCGTGAACGCATAATGAAGGGCCTAATATACTCCAACGTAGCGTTGATACGCGTGCCCGTTGGGCACAGCGTCGCTACGTTAGCAAAACGTGAGCACTCTATAGTCAGACGCAAGGTGCGACTGGCACAACCAGCGTCCGTTGGCGCGGCCCTACGGTAACCGGCGCGACATTCACACAGATGCATTACCCACACAAAACTGCGTCTCCTTCTTTTCGTGCCGGAGGAACGCCGCACGAGCTGAAACGCACATGCGTCGAAGCAACGTAGCACGGCGCGTGCCTGCGAGTGTTTGGCAGGACCGGTGCCGGCGTTGCAACGCCAGCGGGACGCGACGAAATGAACGCCGGCGAGCACGCGCACCGCCTCACATTGAAATGTATTGGCGCCTTGACTGTGGCACGTAGTCATGTTCTCACATGACACGAATCTCATGATTAAAAAGAAGGAGACAGACAGCGGCAGTGCCGCTGTCTGTCTCCTTCTTTTTCTTGTCCCATCTTGTTTTCACCAGTCACATACCTTCGTTATTTATTGACGTCACGTAATACCAAATTTAAAATCTGTGTACCTTGCAAAACGTCCGCGAGCGCATCATGAGTGTGGCATGTAGTCATGTTGTTACATGACACGCATGTCGTGATTATTATGTTTCGATGTGTCATTTACCGATGACGTCTATTCGCGTCACGTAATACCGAGTTTGTACACGCGAAGCTAGCGAAACGGCTGCGAGCGCGTCATGAGCGTAGCATCATGAGCGTAGCATGTAGGCATGTTGTTACATAATATGCATCTAATGATTATCATGTTTGCACCAGTCACATACCTTCGTCATCCATTCACGTACCATAATACCAAATTTGGTGTATATGACGCTAGCGAAACGGCCGCGAGCGATTCATGAGCGTGACATGTAGTCACGTTGTTACATTACACGCATGTCATGATTTTTATGTTAGGGTCTGTAGCTCGTGTTTGCCATGCAATCATGTCTTACCATGCAAGTTTTGCAGCATCCCATGGGAATAAAACCACCGCAAGAGATGCATGACCTATAAACGTAAATCATGACTTTCATGGCATACATGTCTTGATTTTCATGTCATGACTAGTCAAATATGTTCTTCATACAGTCATGTTATGCCATACTAAGTTTGGTATCGATATCATTATCGAAACGGCCAGGAGAGCTAACAGTCGTAGATAGATAGATAGATAGATAGATAGATAGATAGATAGATAGATAGATAGATAGATAGATAGATAGATAGATAGATAGATAGATAGATAGATAGATAGATAGATGGATAGATAGATAGATAGATAGATAGATAGATAGATAGATAGATAGATAGATAGATAGATAGATAGATAGATAGATAGATAGATAGATAGATAGATAGATAGATAGATAGATAGATAGATAGATAGATAGATAGATAGATAGATAGATAGATAGATAGATAGATAGATAGATAGATAGATAGATAGATAGATAGATAGATAGATAGATAGATAGATAGATAGATAGATAGATAGATAGATAGATAGATAGATAGATAGATAGATAGATAGATAGATAGATAGATAGATAGATAGATAGATAGATAGATAGATACGCTCAAAGTCGCCGAAGTTCGCTAAGAAATGCTTCTCATTTAAAACTCATATAGCTGATGCTTCGTGAAATAAGCGGAGGTTTTCGAAACTAACGCAATTTTTTTAGGGAAGTTCGTTTGTGATCCTTGCTTTTACACAGTTGTTGGTTTGAGCGAGCTTATTATACGAATGTAGTTAGGAATACTGCCCTGTACTTCATTGGCATCGCCACCACCGTGCGCTCATGGTTGCTACACTTGGACGTACGCTGCCTTTGTGTCCGCACCCTTTGCTAATAAATCTCTTAAGAAGCTTACCTAATTTCATATATTTTTAGTAATAAAAGTTTTGATAATTCTTTCTTGGCACTGGTCGTTCATAATATGCTTATGCATGGCGGGCATTACAGAAAGACTTCAATGGTCTCGGTTAGTTGCTCAAGCGGCTTTAAGGATCGAGTGAAACATAACGAAATACTTGGTAAAACCAGGACTGAGCAGTTATTGTTTTACTGTTCTTTTCTTTTCCAGATTGCACCTTGTGGGTGAAAAATGCAACGCTTTCGGTTCCCGAAGAATGTCATCGACAGTTCACCAAGATCTGCGGGGAAGGCGTTTCGCTTTACGACAAAAGTGCATGCCGCCAGCTGATGGCATAAGTGCATTAAAACACAAACTTTGTCAAGAGGGGCAACGAGCTAAGTGGTACTGAATTTATGGTGCTATAAAACTATTCATTGCTTAATAAAATGAAAAAAAAATGATCTCTCAGGTCCTGCAGCTGCATTTTCTGTACCTTCATGTGTCAAGAAAGCGGAATTCATGTTTACAGTTGAAAACACCACAAAGAAGACGCAGACAAGAATGCACACAGAGTAAGCCCTGACTGTGAATAGTTTGCTTTATAGAGAATCCCGCCAATATAGATTGAAACTGAAAACTCGGGAAAAGGGAACATATCAAATCTTGTGGTAGCGCCTGCTCCCACCTGCTCATTACTAATCATAAGTGGTTAGTTACGGGGATGGCTGCACTCTTTGTCTGATGGATTATGCGAGGGTGCGCTAACTCATGCTTCATATTTACACTTCATCTCGAATACCTCATATACTTTACGTGCTCTCTGCCCTTTTAGAGGTGAAGCTCCTTAGAGTGTGGGTTGTTCCGTCGTCCTCTGTAGAAGCAGCAGTATTAGTAATAGCTGTAGTAGTTGCTGCTGTAGTAGTAGTAGTAGTGGTGGTGGTGGTGGTGGTGGTAGTAGTAGTACTAGTAGTAGGTGGTGGTGGTGGTGGTGGTGGTGGTGGTGACCAATTCTTGTTAGCTTTAAGATTTGCTCACTTGATGGCATTGTGTGTTGTGTGCGGACGTGTTTTCGCGCGCTCCACCTGTTCGGCGATTTCAAGGTCGTGCAACGTTGTGCAAGGTCGGTTGGTGCAGAAGCAGCGCGCAACGTGAGATAAGTTTCTTTTCATTTCTTTGTGTTTGTGAACACCATTATTATTTTTTTAACTCCTAATCAATAATTAGCGTTGCGAGAACTGTAGGTGTGGGACACGGGCAACTTTGTAGTGACGTTGACCACGTGAACGGGCTAGGCGGCTGTTTTGAAGGAGGTCGGGGCGCCCAGTCTGGTAGGTGCTCTGTGGCCCGGTTAGTTGTTAAAGAGCTAGAGCCCAACACGAAGGGGACCTAGTGAGAGGCTGCTAGCGAAATTGAACACGTATGTCAGCGGTGTAGGTGGCAGCTTCAAACAGTTGTTGAGGTATAAGAGTTAACGGAGACGGCTGGATAGCGGGATTAGGGTTAAGCGTAGGCCTGTCGGGCACTCGGTCCGATGGTCGGGCGGGCGATGGCTAGGGAGGCTAGGGAAACCTGTGTGAGAGTGAGCTGGTGCAGAGCGAACAATGCAAGCGCTGGTGCTACTTAGAGGAGACAGCATTCACGAGTTTGGCACGCGCACAAGGCGAGCTTCGTGTGCAGGCTGTGCGAGGCACGAAGGCGGCCGTGCAGTGCATGGAGGCTAGCATCAAGGGGCTTCAGGGGGAGCTAAGGGCGGAACGGGAGCAGAAGATAGAACTCCAAAAAGAGCTCGGAGCATCGCGTGAGCGGGAGAAGGCTACCGCCAGCCTAATATAGCAAATGACGGGCGACCTTCGAAAAGAACGGGAAGGGCGGACTGAGCTAAAGCAGCGGGTAAAGGAGCTAATGGCCCTTTGCCCCCGCCCCGAGCGGTGTGAGAAGGAATGCGTGGGTAGCGGAGAAGGCGACAGGCGGGAAGGAACAGGCGAGAAGGGAGGGCAGGGGGCCGCAGTGTCTGGCCAAAGCACGGAGGCTCCAAGAACATAAAGCTCGGTGGCGCAGCAGTCTTCAGGGCAGAAACACAGGACAGACGACAGAGAGAGAAACAGGTGAAGCAAACAGGGGCACCATCACAAACAGGAAGCAAGCGATTGGAGCGTAGAAGGGTCCTAGTGGTGGGAGACTCTAACGTGGCCAGGGTTAGGGATGGCGTCTTCAAGACAGTGAAGGAAGATGGGAGAGTCAGGGTGGGGGCACAGTCAGGGAAGAGCATGGTAGATTCACTGGCCAAAGCTCAGGAGGTTGTAGAAAACAGCATGGAGGGCGAAAATCTAGTCATTATTCTTGCTGGGCTCAATGATGTGTTGAAGATCAAGGATCAGAACCTTTAGAGAAAGCTAAAGGATGGGATGGGTAAGCTCTAAAATGCCTCTGGGAGTGTGCATGTGACCATATGCACAGTCCCAGAGGTCTGAGGGCAGCCTCGTGGGATTGAAAGGCAGGTAGTGGAGGCCAATTATGTGATCAAGGGTTTGAGCTGCCAACTCGGATACAGCATAATGGAAGTTAACCAAGACGTGTACGAGCCCGCGCTCGCCCCTTTGCAGAGGATGGCATTCACTACAGTGGTGCGATGGGCAGGAGGTTCGGTAACAGAATGGGTCGCCAAGCCACACCTTTTTTATGGGGAACCCAGGGCCCTGAGGCCAACAGTGTAGCCAAAGACGGACCTAAAGGGGCACAAATATTCTAGCCACACGAAGTCCCTGAGAGAAGAAATCGACGTAAGCACAAGGCCCGAGCTAAGTCAGACGTAGGCTATATTAACATGCAGGGTGGCAGGAATAGGTTAAAGTGGGAAGAGATAGAAGAGCAGTTGAGTCAGGAGGAGCTGATGGTATATGGGGTTGTGGAGACACATCTTCGGGACCTAGAGCAACCACCCTGCGATCAGGACTACGTATGGGAATATTGCAATAAAACAGAAGGCAGCAAAAAGGGGGGTGGAATTAGTGCATTTATACATAAGAGCATGGGTTGGCAAAGAGTCAAGCAGGGATGCAAGGAACATTTATGGCTAAAAAGGAAAGTGGCAGGGCAAATGACACTTTTTGGTTTCGTGTACTTGTGGATGGGAGCAAAGGCCAGAGAGGAAGACCAGGCAATGGTAGAGTGTATATCAAATGACATTCAGGAGTTAGGAGGAGAGTGCGAGAAAATTATACTAGGAGATATGAATGCACACATAGAAGATATAGATGGGTATACTGACTAAACATGCAAACTTATCATGAATATGTGTGAAAGGCATGATTTGATCATTTCCAACAGTACCGAGAAGTGTGAAGGACAAATAGCATGGGAGGTAGGAAGGCTGCAGTCAACGATAGATTACGCACTGATGTCACATAGGATGAATGATAAGCTCAGGGGAATGCACATGGATGAAGGTGGCTCCTGAAGTCTGGATAGTGATCACAAACGTATCAAGCTAAGTTTTGGAAGAGTAGCGAAAGTGGCAAGGAGACAAGATGAGCAACTACAGGAAAATTTTCATTCAGAAAGGCAAATAGAAGTTGCTACTAAACAAATTGAGAAAGTAATCACTGAGTATAATAAGAATGTGAGGACATACACAAATCTAATTAGACTGTTTGGGCTAGAGCTTGCTAAGGCACGTGACAAGTCACCTCGGAAAATAAGACACAAGCCCAAAAGTTGGTGGGATGAGGAAGTTAAGAGAGCCACAGCAAAACGTCAGGAAGGCTCTAGGGAACACAGACATGCTAAGCAACGGGGTGAGCTGACAGATGATGTTGAAAGAAAATGGGAAATTTTTCTAAGCTCTAGAAGGGAAGCATTCCTCCTGATCAATAAAAATAATAGAATAAAGGGTGCTCAGTGGCTGGCATAAGTACATAAAAAGGACAGAAATGCAGGTGCGAAATTTTGGAACCATCTAAACTCCCTAAGAAATGAAACTAACCTAGAGCAGAGGTTTATAACTACAGCTTAAGATGCTAGGCTAGAAGGGCACGAAGCTATTGAATGTATAAGAACAAGGGTGACAGAAAAATTGCAACAAAGTGTCTTATGCACCACAATAGACAGGGATGGATCAAGTGGCACAATGGCTCCATTTTCACAACGAGAGTGGAAAAGGGCTGATAAGAGGGTTCCAAGTAGTACATCAACAGGCCCAGATGGCATTCCAATTTGCTGATAGAGACATTGGGCCCGAAGTATAAACAGACTTTGAGAGAGGCAGTGAGCAGAACAATAGTCGATGGTGAAGTCCCTGATGGATGGAAACTTAGCAGGATGAGCATGATCTATAAAGGAAAGGAGGACGAAAATGACATAAACAACTACCGTCCTATAACAGTGATATCAGTGGTCTACAGGCTGGCGATGCAGATTATAAAGGAAAGACTGCAGGCATAGATAGAGGATGAGGGGGGGCTGGGGGAACTGCAGAATGGGTTTCGGAAACACAGGAGGTTGGAAGACAATCTGTTCTCACTGACGCAGTGCATCGAAATAGCAGAAAAGGAACTCAGGCCCCTTTGGCTAGCATTTTTGGATATCAAGGAAGAGTATGATAGCGCGGTTTAAGAGGACTTGCGGGGAATACTAGACACACTGGGTGTGGAAGATGGAGTCACTTATCTTTTAAAGGAAATGTATACAAGTAACAAGGTAGTTATAAAGTGGGAAAAACAGGTATCCAAGCCCACAGAGCTGAAACGGGGACTTAGGCAGGGGTGTCACTGTCACCCTTGTTATTCATGATGTACCTACAAGAATTAGAGGCCAAATTAGAGGGAAGTGGACTTGGCTTCGACCTGTCTTTAGTCAAACAAGGAAAACTCATTACTCAGGCACTACCAGCATTAATGTACGCAGATGATATAGTGCTAATGGCCGAAAACAAGGAAGATTTGCTGAGATTGATGGACATCTACGGTAATGATGGAGATAGGCTAGATTTTTGATTCAGTAAGGAAAAATCAGCAGTCATGATTTTGAATGATAACGAAGGTAGTGAGTTTAAAATACAGGAGGTCACGCTAGAGCTAACAGATAAATACAAATATCTGGGCGTATGGATAAGCAATGGAACCGAGTACCTGAGGAAACACAAAATATACGTGACGACTGAAGGTAACAGGAATGCAGCAGTGATGAAAAATAGGGCACTGTGGAATTACAATAGGTAAGATGTTGCGAGAAGAATATGGAAAGGGGTCATGGTTCCTGCGCTGACGTTCAGCAATGCGGTCTTGTGCATGAGACCAGAAGTTTAAGCAAGATTAGAAATTAAGCAACGTGGAATAGGTAGGCTTGCTTAAGGAGCTCACGGGAGTACACCGAATCAGGAAGTACAAGGTGACATGGACATCATTTGAGGGCAGGGAAGCTAGCAGCAAGGTAAAATTTGAGAAGCCATTGAGAGAAACGGGGGAGGAGCGT